GCAACAAATGTGCATGACCATAAAGAAAATAACACAACTTGTCTATCGTAGAAAGGCGATTTCGATATGAAACGCAAAGCATTATATATGATTATTGGAAAAGAGGAGACGGAAAAACAGGCAACCGCCAAGGAACATGTGGAAATGTTAAAATTTAATTTGCGTCTTTTTCTTTGTTGATGACCGGATGTTGCTGTACTAGTTGGACCACTGACCCTTCCTTTGCGTTTTGACTTGGCGATGATAAACATTTTGTAGTTTAAGTAAATTAACAGGAACAAGAAAGATAAAATAAACACAGTTATGAGCATATAACCAATTTTTCGCCCGTAAAATATAACATTGAATGGTGACAGGGCGACTAGTGTGATCATCCCAAATGTTTGAAAAAATATAAGTCTCCTTTTAGTGACTGCGGTTTGGTGGAAAAATGGATAGGTTAGGGCCAGGAATCGTTCGATAGTCAGCGTTAACAGTGCAAACATTGAAAAACCTCCGAAGAGAATAACTATGTATATCCATGTGTACTTCATTTCTTCATAATAAATTTGCATAGACCACAAAATTGTTGATAATATTAATGTAGGATGAGTAATGGTGACCGCAGCCAGATCAAAACAAGATAAAAAAAGAATCATAAAGTAGCATAGTTTCTTTCGATGTTGTGACGACCTGCATAGACTGATTATAACCACAGAATTCAGAAATATTCCTGCAACCATGAGGGAAACGTTCAGGAGACACAGAAATATCGCGTGAATAAAAGTGTTTGCGGGATCCATTGCAAGTCTTGTGTCCTGTAGGTCTTTCCTCTTTTCCTTTTAAAAAGTATTCTGTCGCCAATGAATATTAGAATAAATGCGAGAACATCTACAACACACCTGACACCTGTACATTTATTTATTTAAAACTGTAATTTTGTCATATTGAAGTATGCCTTATGCAAAGGCTCTTGAAACAAAGCATTGAAACTCGTATGGATGAATGCTATGCCCTGTTGTGTCAAGTACTCACGCATAAATTGTACATGCATACGGTACACTAATTACGCATTCAATTCTTCTCAGCAAGGAAAAGCAAGACAAACCTTAACGTTTGGAAATTTTTAATCCAATTTCATCCAAATTGAACCAAAATTTAATATTAGTTCCCAAAATCTTCGTATTAAACTGCTTGGTAAATTTTAATTATTTTTCAAACAAACACACACGAGAGCTGAGAAAACCCTCATGAAAACCAATATTAAAATGAATAATTTCAAGAATATTTCTCTTCTCAAATTCTCATCAACTCTCATCTTCTTTTGCATGCCCAATGCGTTGATTTGTTTTTATCGAAAGAATTTAATTTGTTCATGTCTTTCCAACCTCTATATGTAAGGAACTAAACGTTATTATCCGAATACTGCAGCATGCAGTTGGAATAGTGACTGTATCGTCAATTTGAACAACATTCTACAACAAATAAATATTGAAGGGTTTTTGTAGATATTAATTTTGAACGAAAACTATATACTTTTTTAAACCTAACGAGGAACAGTAGCGAAAACATTTAATGCAATATATATAATAGACTAATAGTCTATTTCTTGAAGAGTTTTTGTAGATGGAATTTTGAGTGTAAACTTTATACATTTAGATCTTTAAACCAGGAGCATTTGCGAAAGTGCAACCATATATAGGCCTTCTGGCAGGGATGGAACCTGCGCCTCCGCAATTCCGGTCAGCTCTGTACCGTCCTATTGAGTCTCCTATTCAATAAGACTGGAACGATAACTCGGCCGCCATCATTCTTTGAAGCCAAAATGCTAAATTTAGAGTTCACTGTCCTATACAGCCTATACTATATTGGGCTACGCGGAGTCTATAGTTATCAAGCTCTAACAGTTTCAAGTTCCGAAATGTCTTCAGTGTAACTTTGAAGTGAGATAGTAAAAGCATTAAGGTTGGGAGGTCAAAAATCATCATTTTTGTATTTTTATACATGTGACTGTATCTTAAATCCGAGGTCTTTTATATGACGAAAACTGAATATTGATAAAATAAAAATTTTCCGAGGTATTTATGTTTAAAATTTGATTGAAATCTGAATCCGAAACTGAGAAAGGGTAAAGAAATGGACTCATCCTAATTAAGAATCAGCATGCTTTTCACCACATGCAACAAGTGTCCTTCTTGCGACTAGAATGACTTTTTGAAATTTAATGAACAATGGTCCACCATCATTTTCAAAATCTGAAAACCCTGTGGTAAAATTCTGACAGGTTTTTAACAAGAACCCTTACGTTTTTATATCTTTCCGCCATAAATTTCTGGCCGCTTTTTTTCAGGCTGAATGCTTGAACCTTAATTGGCTTGAGGCTGGCTGGAAAAAATAGGTCATGCTTTAGTCTACAAGACGTCTGCTCGTGAACATGCCAAGACCAAATAATTCAAATTTTGTAGTTTGTATAAATCTCCTTGGAGTTTCTTTAAATTAAACATATTCGTTAATTTGTAGTTGTGAAAAAAGACCAAATTCGATACCTTGGGTATACCTTGGATTCGTGCTTGATATAGTTGCAAGCCGGCATATTCAGACGCCAATTGACTCAGGCTCATTTGACTAAAAATAACACAAGGCTTATATTTAACAACTATATCATGAGCTCGAGTCATATGTATACGAGCTGATAGCCATTAGCCATATACGACAAGAGCAAATGGTATGATTTTTTAATAATATTATAGTCTAATTGCCATTAACAGTAGCATGCAATAAGGGGCCATTCACAAAATACTGAAGACAAAATTGTTTCTTTTCCTATCCAAATCAAAGTTTGTCATGGAACAAAAATAAATATATGTTATTATATGGCAAGCATTTGTTTTGATGAATCGCGCAATTTGATTGGCTGCTGACGAGGCAGGATTTTCCCGTATTGCTAGCCTGCGTGGCAGGCGGTTTTTAATGAGGGGAAGATATTTCTTTCGCCTCCCTAAAAACCGCCTGTCACGCAGGCTACCGTATTGCCCACATTCTCGTACCCAGAGCCTTTCTTACGCGCGGTCAACCGAGCGCGACGAGGGGCTCTGGCCAAATCCAAACCGGATACCATAAAAACATGGTATCCGATTAAACACTGCGCATGCTCAACGTCAGTCAAACGCGGACACAGAATAAGGCACACAGAAGGGCCACTTACGTCGGAAGCTTTGAAGTTTTTGTCACCCTGGCCGCCATCTTCCTAGCCAGTCGATTACATTTTCTGGCCAATAAACGCGCTGTATTGGCTGAAGGCCCCGCCTTCTGACCAGTCAACTGCATATTTTTGCATAGAAAAATGGCGACACGTTGCACCGCTGAGTGGCCCTTCTGGTACTGATCTTTATTCTGTGGCCATACATTTCTATAGTAATTTGTATCACTTCCGTGGTCCCCGGAAGTGATTTTCGCATATATAATTTGGTTTCACTTTTCACACCTATAGAGAAGCTATATCCAGTGTACTATTAGATCAGTGCTCTCGACCCGTGCTTCCACTTCTCACCAGTGCTTTCACTTTTCCGTCGACGTTACTTCCAATAAAGCCTGATTTGCTAACATAACAAGAATACATTATAACGTTGTTTATACGCGTCCGGACTCGGTTTCCAGGACGTATACGACTTTAAACATCAGCGGCTTCTTCGAGAAGTTCAAGTTTTCCAACCGGCCGGACAAGTGTTCCATTCTTCGTTTGAACTTCAGCTGCTCGGACTACACCTAAATCACCAACATACCCATGCTCCACGCGGAGCGTCCTTGTCAACCACGAGGACAATATCTCCTATCTTCACGTTCCTAATCTGCGTATTCCACTTCCGTCGCTCCAGAAGGTTCTGGACATATTCCTTTAGCCACCGTTTCCACACGTGATCCACAATAACCTGCACCTGACGCCATTGTTTCCGACTAGAAGTCTCTTCGTCCACAAACACGTCGGGGGGTAAGTTTGGGTTAGATTTTCCCAACTTTAACCCACCTGCTGCCCCTGTGGGGCAGCAGGTTGTGCAAAAAAATCCCGACGTTCTCTGTCCGCACCAACGAAGTTGGTACCGTTGTCGGAATGGATACGCACAGATTTTCCTCTTCAAGCAATCATTTGTCTCATAGCCATGATGTAAGAATTGGTTTCTAAACTGTAAGCGACTTCTATGTACACAGTGCGTGTGACCATACATGTAAACACGCTGCCATACCTCTTTTCGTTCTTTCGAGAGCGCTTGACTTGCATCGGTCCGAAGTAGTCGACTCCAACATATGAAAATGGAGGTGAGCAGGCTTGTAGCCTGTCCTTGTGTAAATATGCCATGTATGGGGTATGTGGTCGAGCACGTCTTCTCTTACAATAAGTGCAAGTATGTGATACATTGCGAATGGTCGAGCGCAAATTCAAAATCCAGTACTCTTGCCGGATGACGTTGCGGACATGCTCATCGTGCTTCTCGGGGAGTATGATAGGATGTCGGGAGGAATAAGGAATGGGTGCCTTCATGAGACGACCACTAGCACGAATTTACCCTTGTTGTCCATAAATGGAGACAAGATCAGGATGCAACTCTGACGTGGGATTGATTTTTTCTTCTTAAGGCCATGCGTTTCGAGTGGGAAACGTTGCATTTGAGCTCGCTTTATCCAGAGCTGTTTTGTATTCTCGTACTCCGTCACGGTTAGAGTGCCAAGTTTGCGATCTTGAGATTTCTTGAAAACATAACTCGTGAATCACGAGATCCAACAAGTTTGGCGTAACAGCTTATGCCATGATAAGAAACGTGTTGGATTCAAGGGACTGTCTTTCAAAACATCACTGACACAGGAAGAACTAGTCACTTCAGTTGCTAAACTAACTTCTTGAGGGACGGCGATGTCTGCAGGTCAAAATTCTTCTGGTAGTGTAAGAAAGGCCGGCCCGTTTAACCAACGGCATTCAGGATCAAGGTTTACAAAGCGGAGGCCGCGGCTACCGTCGTCCTCTACATTTAGACGCCCAGGGACGTGTCGCCATTCAGATGGGTCACTGTTGTCTTGAATCTCCGCAATTCGATTTGCAATAAACGTCGGATGCCGGCGACTGCGGCTTCCAATCCATTGAAGAATGGTAGTGCTATCCGTCCATAGATAATAGGAACTGATCTCGTATGCATGCTCTTCATCACATTCAGTAGACGAACACATAGTATAGCTGCTTGCAACTCAAGGTTAGGGATGCTCAATTGTCTCAAAGAGGCTACCCGAGTTCTTCCCATGATGAAACAACACTGTATGGACCCATCTGGATGGAGGAATCGGAAGTAACCAACTGCACAGAATACATCCAATGAAGCATCGCCAAACACATGGACTTGAATGACCAGTGCGATAGTGGCAACTGATCGAAAGAATCTCGATTCTCGAAATGAGGTTAGGTCGTCGAGCTCTTTTAGCCATTTCATGAAGGGAGCAAGGTCCTCAGCAGGAATTGTCTCTTCCCATCCTTGTTTCATCTGTCACAAAGCTTGGAAGAAAAACTTTGCTCGAAGGATGTAAGGAGCAATCATTCCAAGCGGGTCAAAGATAAAAGAAATGACAATCAGGATTTGTCGCTGGGTAGAAGCTGCCCTTGGCAAGCAGCTAGTGAAGACAAACAAAGGTTCCAAAGGGCTCCCAGGACACGCTCGATAGGTAGTTTACCGTCTAGGTCGAGGCCTTTCAGACACGGAGCAAGTTCACTGTCCAGTATATTGGAGAGAAGTTCTCGGGAATTCCCGCACCACTTGGTTAGTCTGAAGCCACCCTTCGACAGCAGGTTGGTAAGGTCCTGGCACGTGTCAACTGCGATTTCTTTGTCCTTTTCTGACTTAAACAGATCGTCAATGTAAAAGTTTTTCAAGATTGCCTCTGCTACCAATGGAAATTCGCTAGAATTGTCCTTGGCGGTTCGATGAAGAACATAATTGACTGAAGTAGGTGACGATTTTGCTCCGAAGATGTGCCGACAATGCCAGCGGAAATGGCAACCCTTTCTTCGAGGAAACGCGTCAAAATTCCGAGGGAAGAGTTGAGGAGATTGGGTCCAGTCATCAGGTGGTCATTTAAAGATGCGCCTTTGAATTTGGATGCAGCATTGAAGACCCTTCGAATCTTGCCGGGTTTGTTAGTGCTGGTAACAGGGTGATGTGGGAGGAACCGCTGGTGTTTCGCAGGGGCAGAAGCTTCTTCTTGAGATAGCCTTTTGACATAGCCATTTCTCAAGTCACTTTCGATAGTATCCCGATAAGCAGTTTCCAGCTCCTCATTTCGAGCTAATCTCCTTTCCAACGAAAAGAATTGCTTCTCGGCTACAACGCGATTTCGTAGCGTTCTCCAGTATGTTTGGTGGCCGATTCAAGGATTTCAAGGGCTTTCTTGTCTTCGACAGATCGAGAGGTTTCTTCCGCATATTTACACCCGAATGACTCGGTCTTCCACCAAAGCTGGACTTGATGAGAGAATCTTCTTCAGGAGTTGTGATATGGACTTTCATGGCAGTGACCGTATTGATATCACTACTCCCTGGGAGACGAGAAGTCGCAGTCCAACCCAGAGCAGTGCGTATCGCTCTAGGAGTTCCCTTTGGGCCGAGTCAAAGACATCAGCGACCAGCAAAACCGTGATAACATAGTCCTTTACTGGAGGCAGTGAAGGTTTGCAAAGTGAGGCCAACGATTCTTCTCCTTCGACATGTCGATGCTTATCTTCGGAAGGTTCAGCTTTTCTACTGTCCTAGCTTGCGCAACAGTAAAGGGGTAGGTGAGATTAGCCACAGAACTAACACCAAAGTCAACAATCCTTGATATAATACAACTACGCTGCTGAACCCCGTTTAAAATTATTTGCTCAGTGGGTCCAGTCAGTAAAACTTTATCGGCAACACTAGCTTGAATAAATGCGCACGTACTGCCCATGACCAACATAGCATAAGTTCTGTGTAGGCTAGGCTCAGATTCCAGCCGTTGTGTTCTCGCCACTCGCCCACTTAACGGTTGGGTTAATCAACTTCGGCATTGTTCTGATTGACCAATCGCATTACGGCCCCCCTCCCCCCCCCAAAAAAAAAATTGGGGGGGGGGCATAAATTTGTA